CAGCCCCCGACTTCACACGCCACCGCTGTGTCACCACACGTCAGTCAGCACTGCGAGCTCTGCAGAGGTGGGAGTGGGAGTGTGGGCATGTGTGTGTGTGGAGGGGGCGAATACATATTCCACATTCCCACTGAGACATGGAGAGGATCGCCATGGGGAAGAGAGCGGGAAATGCACAGTTAAAAGAAAAGCCTGGAAAGGCTAATGAAAAATAAATCACCCCGGGCCAGCGGGGGAACGGACGAGGGTAAGCAGGTGTAAAACTGTACCCTGTCGGGGTTTCAAGACATCTCTGACTTACCACCAGCGCCACAGGCCCTCAGACAGTGGCAAACAAAACGTGATTCAATTAAGTCATTAGAATCTCCAGGCGGAATGAAAAACAGGCTAAAAAGAGATCCCTTGTAATTCTGCTCCACAGCAACAACAGCCAGGACTCTGCACGGCTGTGAAGCTCCAGTACTCGTCTCTAGATGCCTGTGTGCAGGGTCTGTTTTTGAAGCTCTGCCGAGGCACGTGGTATTTCACAACATCACTGCGATCGGCTGTTCTTCTCCCTGTAAGCCGCTTTCCGCAAACCAGGGTCTTCTGAGGTGAGCGCTCCGCGATCATTTATCTCCTCCACCAGCTTTGAAAGAGCGAGAAACACGAGACGGGAGAAACACGAGAAGAGAGCGGGTGGCAGATCTCGTGCCGTGCGGCTGTTACTCGCTTACTGATCCCGGCGCCTTCTCCAGCCGCCGCGAGTACGATCCCAGCTTCACCAGAGTGGCCGGGTGGTCTGTTCCACGCTCCTGCCACCCTTTGTGTAAGGAAACGCTTCCCAATTTCAGTCCTAAAAGAACGTGTCCGCTTGGGTCCACAAATCTGCCCAACAATCTTAATCCTTACTTCACTGAAAGGTAGGGACTTCTGAAGAGGCAGAATTTGCCCTTCAGGGGTTGTTGAAGTGGATCTCCTCCTCTATCCCAGAGTACTTTAGGATCCTTTGGGATATAAAGTGCTATATATAGTCTGGGAATTCTTCTTCTTAATAAAAGAATATTAAATTCACATTCCTCAATGACTAAACAGACAGTTGTAATTGAGAGCAGTTAAGTCGAAAGCTGATTGAATTCAATAATTTGAGAGCGATTGGGTAGAATTAAGATCCTGTGACTTGACGAGACTAGATGTGAGGAGTCCTGCTGCAGTCAAATAGAAGATACAGGGGAAAAATACCTTTTTTGCAGCTGTCCATCCGCCCATCTTTGAACCACTTTATCCAATCCAGCGCTGTGGGGGAGCTGAAGCCTTTCCCAGCAACCAACGGGCACAAAGCAGAGTACACCCCAGGGGTACACAGACAAATTTGTAACAGACAAATAAGTTCTGGATCCTGAGATGAAGTTCAAACAACCGGGTTTATTGCACGCAGGGAACGATAAGATCTGTTCGGAATATAGGCACAAAACTTCCAGTTTATACAGCCCATTTCAGCCCTTTCTGACGCAAACTGTTACCGTGGCAAAGGGGGGAGGTCACCCGTGTTTGGACATTCCCAAGACCTTGACCACTTTGAACGGCCGGATTTATCTTTCCTTAGTTAGGGGGTCTCTACCTTGCACTTGGAATCTCTTATCAGTTCACTCCCCTCCCTGCCTCAAAACTCAAAAGGGCTTAAGCACGGAATGTCTTGTGTCACAAGAGGCCTGTGTGCAGAAAGAAATCACATCTTGCATCTTTCTTCAGCACACAGACACGCACACTCTCACACCAGGGCCAGTTTTCACAGGAGCTATTTAACCACCAGCCCATCTCACCCACGCAAACACAGGGAGAACATGCAAACTCCCCACAGACAGCGCCCCAGGTCTGGAAATGAGGCCAGGGCCCCGGCGTTGCGAGACACCCCCCCTTGTCACTGCCCCGCCCCTTTCTGCCCCTGCACTTGGCTCTTGTTTTTTTGTCCTTCTGTAGCGTCCTGGGTGCTACACTGGGAAGCTCCCCAGAACCGCGACGTTCTCACTGCAATTAACTCACCCAGTGCACAAAAATCCAATTACTTCGCGGCATGCATGTGGTGTGCTGCGTTCTCTGCAGACGAACAGTAGCTGTGTGGGAAGAAGGTGTTGAGAAATGTCTCAAGTTGCTCTTGAGAATAATTGCCAGGGGGCTAAATTTAGCTTTTCAGATAACGAACCCGCTGCAGAAATAGCTCTCTGTAACAGACGCGATAGGACTTTTGTTTGGTTCTTCCTTTTTCGTTTCTTCCGCTGGATCAGTGTTTATGAACGGGAGCGGCGTTGTGACGCGGCAGCACCTGCCTGTAGCCAGGACCGTCCGGCTCTCAGAAGCTGGGCCAGGCTGGGACTGGTCCCAGCTGGGACAGGGAACACCGAGCTGGTGCTGCTGCTGTTCTTGTGGGGGTCTTGTGTGACCACGTGGTGGCGCCCCCTCCCTTCCAGCTCCCCTGTTTGAGTTATGGTGAGCCGGGACACCGTGCTGCAGGGGGCGCTGTCCTGCCTGCGAGACATTAAGCTGCTTGGTCAGTAAAGACCCCAGGGCTGAGATCACGAGAGCGGGGGGCGTTAATCCCAGTGCCCTGGCTGGAATCCACTTTGGACATCTGGCCTCTCTAAATCTCCCCCACAACACAGCCGAGGAGGCGATTCCTTCCTCCTGCCCCTGATCTGCGGTGCAGTGGGGCTGCTGGTGCAGAACGACTGCAGGGGGGCGCAGCGCTGCAGGGGTGGATGAAGGGGGTATGTGCTGTAAAATCTCTATCAAGCCCAACCAGTATTCTTTGCTCTTCACCTTATCATTCCAACGCAATTGCCAAAGGTGGAAGAGTAGCGCTCTGTTCAGACTGTGGCGCTCTGTACCCGCAGCGCTCAGATCCCACCGGACCAGCAGGGCAAAGCAGGGTTCCAACATGACAGAGTTCAGATCAAAAGAAAACGGAGACATCTGCATGCAAGCCCGCTGGGTTCTCGCAATGGAACATGCTGCTTCAACAAGTCTTCTGGAAGACGAATGATAGGCAAATCATCGAGGGATTATTAGAAAGTGTCCGACTCCGGTGGGCCAGCAGCTGGGGGTTTAGATCAGCATTTCTTTGGGAGGAGGGAGGAAACGGCCATGAACACAAACGCAAGAAGAACATGCAAACTCCATTCAGACGGTCGCCAGAGGCCAGGACTGAAGCCAGGAACCTGTGACACACCAGCACTAACCACCACACCACTGCCTTGTCCTAAAATCAGTAAACCTGAGTAGATTTCCTAACTATGACCCTAAATGTTTCTGTCATATTAATTAAATATGAAATATGCTTTAATAACAATACTGCGCTAGGGCCATTACCAGTGCCATTGTTTTACACAATCAGTGTTTCTGGATACATTGTAACACACGATGGCCGTGCAGCAATAGTTCCTCAGTGTACTCTGAACAGCTAGACGACCAAGGGCTACGAAGATATTACCACACCTGCCTTCTACTCCTCGGTGTCCCTTCTTTGCATTCCTACAGCGCTGTGCCAGTGTGGTGGCTTGTGTTTTATCTTGTGTCCCTGTTCTCCATGCAGCATCAGTGCAAGTGCAGTAGATCAGTGCATCAGTGCAAGTGCAGTAGATCAGTGCAAGTGATACGATCTCATCGTGGGCACCCCATTCTGTGCACTGCACCCCTCCACGATGTGAGCTCCGTAGCTCTGCGCCAATCGGTTCGTTACTGTCATAATAGCGTAACTGCGCACACACAGAGAACGGGCCTGTACCTCAGCTTTGCCACTCTTCAACGTTGCCTTGGGTAAAGCAGTCAGCTGAGTCTTACAGACTGACTGAGCCCAGCTCCAGAGATCCCTGAAGAAACACCTGCAGGAGCTTATGGGATCCATTAGCTACTAAGCAAATAAATAAGCAAACTAGTTTGCGAGCTATCTGTGCGTTCAATTGAACAAGCTTCCAGGATGAGGGGGGGTTAAGGACAGTTAAGACCAGCAGTGAATTAGAGGTATGGATATTTAATAGCCCTCTGTCCAAAGGGATTTCAGAAAGGTGGGATTGAGAATTTGTGAAACAGTCCCATCTCCTGTAGCATCCTGATTGGTTGAACAGTCAATTGCTATCTGATCGCCTGCTCTCCGAAAACCATGCTCCTTGAGGTTAATCTAACAGGGCCAGCCAATGCCATCAACTTGGAGACTTTGGAGACTGTCCAAATGTGTCTATGTAACTTCTCCATCTATTGCATATAGCATTAATTAATTAGCTAATTAGCTAATAAGTGATTCTTAACAAACGTTTATAAATGGAATAATTATTATCCGTCAAGTTATTCAGCTTTACAGAATTATATATACAGTAATGCTGTTCTTGAGAAGCGATCACAGTTAAAATTGTGTTATTATTAGTAGCAGTTAATTTGTTTATCTGTTTATTGCATTGGTTACAAAGCTCTTTTCAGCCAGTTCTATATTTAGTTGTGCACTAAGATGTTTTTTTTAACGTAATCCCTGAGTGTTATTGGCAGAATGAGGACTGCCATGGTTTTGGCTGTGCCAGGTTGCACTCCTTGGGTAGTCAGGAAGGCAGGATGTTCTAACCCTTGGCCACCTGTACACCTGTGCCTCCAGAGCTTCCTGAGAAACTCTGTGCTGGGGAAAGGAGGCAGAAGGAGACGGCCACCGGCCAATCCCAAGCACACAGGGAGGGAGAGAGGCACGAGGTTTTGTTGCTGGGGAAACGGTTGCTAGGCATCAGAGTAAGGGATGCTTAGAGAGAGGCAGAGAGATGGACAGAGGGAAGGATGAAGGGAAAGAGAGAAAAAGAAAGAGAGGGAAGAGAAGAAGAGACCGACAGAAATCAGGTGTGATCGAAGAAGAAAGATCAGTGAAGTCCAAAGCAATAAAGAATCAACACAGCCTATTTTTAGAAGGATCGGGGGATGGAGTGCCTGACCAGCTGTGGTGTCAATTCCCCAGGCAAGTACTGAACAGCAATACAGTAACAGCACACACAGCACAAAGCCAAAGACACCATGCCGAAAAACACCAGAGAGCAGGACATCCATGACAGAGACTGAAAGGAAGAGAAAGAAGAAGAAAAGAGAAAGCCAGCGAGGAAGAGTGACAGGAGGAATGGAGAGATGAAGGGGGCTGAGAAGACTGAGAAGGCGGGATGGAACGAGTGAGTGTGAGTCAGAAGATAAGGGGATGATCTGGAGATGGAGAAAGAGGGCTAGGGAGAGTCACAGCCATTGACACTCCTTTTGGGCTATGCCCATCCCTATTGGCATGAACAGGGTTCACAGTCTTAAACACCTGCGAGCACCTGTTTACACTGCTGCACTACACTGAAGCTGTTGTCACTGCTGTACTGCGTTACACTGCACTAGAGATGTTCCCACTGTTGCAACGCACTGCACAGGAGCCGCCCTCACTGCTGCATTGCACAGCACTGCACTGCACTAGGGCCATTCTCACTGCTGCACTGGGGCCATTCTCACTGCCGCACTGCACAGGAATAGTATAAAGGGACACCTTTCGTCAAACTTTTTCGACAGGTGCCACACCCCTGTTTCAGCCAATGGGTGTCCACGGTGGGGCGGATGACCCGCCCCTTTGTCATCCAATGGTGCGTTGTCATGGTTGGATGTCCCGCCCCCTCCCGAGCCGAAGGTGTGTCGTTAAGGGTCGGATGTCCCGCCATCCCCCACCGAGCGGTCCTGAGCCTCAGGGTCCAAAAGCCCCTGCCACCGCATCTCTCGATTTATAAATAAGTGTATGAAAGCGTGTATGAGGGTTGGAAGGCGATCATGTCTGCCGCGGGGTTGAGCGCGCTCTATTATAACCCTAGGGAATCGGGGAGTTACGGCGGCGTGGGGTGTCTGGAGAGGGCCGCGAGATCCCGGGGTGTGAGCAGCACCTGCCGCGGCCGGGTGTCAGAGTAAATAGAGGGCATAGGTCAATATCTCAAGAAACTGTGAAAAACACTATCATGTTTAAGTAAAGAATGTGATTTGCTTCAGAAAAAAGAAATTGTTGCTATGTAACTGGTACCGTGTCAAAATGTAATAAGATGTGATCATATATACTGTTTTAAGTATGTATATTAATGTAAAGCATTTGTGATGCCCTGTATTTTATTGTGAAAAGGAAATAAAAGTTCTTAAAAATCGAAAAATCGAGTGGTGGACCCTGACAGCGTGTCTCACAAAAACATCAGGGGCATGTAAGCAGCCACACACACACACTCGCAGGACCAATAGCATGTGAAATGTGAACCACTTTATTTCATTAGTAGGTTTTCAAACACCGAAACATCACAACACACACTTTTGAATTGTTCACACACGTGACAGACTCCTGTTTGCAATCACCAATGAAATGTTGGTGCGGAAAAATTAGTTCGGTACAGGTAACGATCACCCCAACAATGCTCAGAAACTTTGCTGCATCTGAAAAAGCGTTCATAACGTCCTTCCGCTCCCCATGTCTAAAACCATAAGAACTGCACCGGGCGACCTGGTCTAACGGAGCAAACAAAATGTGCCTGAGTAGGGCTGTAATTTCACTCGGGATCTTGACATACACAACTATCTCTTTAACAAATTTAAAGACCTTAGCATTCGACTCATTGATTTTCACATCAAGCTTTGCAGAAAGAAGATTGTAAGGCACTCTTTGTAAGAATTCCGACATATTCTTCGGACGACGGCACACCCGGGTCTGTAAAACAGAGTGAAAGCGCTATTCACATGGCGTGTATTTCACAGCCGTGTTTTTACACAGATCTTTTTTCGCGTCTGTAAAAATATGTACAATGTTTCTTTTGCAACGCATGAAAAGTCACGTCTACTATTTTTTTCATCTACCTGGTCAAGGAGCGGACATGCTCGTGTGGCGTGTGGTCGAAAATTATGTTTCACAGCAGGTGTTTTATACCCCGCTCGGTATCATTTGTAATGGTGTACGCACCCAGCCCCCTGGCGATGTACAGAACAGCCGATAAAATTCGGGCTAGACTGAGATACTTATACATTTCTAACGCAGCAAACGTCAGATCTTCAAACCCATCTGTGTAGCCGACAGCCAGACGTGTGACCCCGTTGACCGGGGTGGTCAGTCAAACAGGCCGGGCATTCATCAACCAGAGCCCCCTTTGAACAGTGGTTGAAGATGCAACACACTACCGCCTTTACAATCTGGGCCATAACATCGCGCGCATTAGGGACATCGTTAGCTAAACCTGCTTGAGCATCATCATTATGAACATTTTGACGAACACACAAGCACAGACACGAAACATTCACGCTCGATGGTAGTCTGAGGATTGATGCGTCGATCTCTTCGTGATTCTATTAAAGGAAAAAAAGAAAAGGAAGGCTTAACAAAATAAATAGGCATGCTTTTTACCTATAATATTTACCATTAAACGCCTCTTTTGAGTTACGGTTCTTCATTTCCTCCGCGTTAGCAGCGGTTTAAGATTTATCATTTGTAGCGGCTGCAGCCTCTGTTATCACAGGGAAGGGCGGTGACGTCACCGCTCCGGTAAGCCGGCTCTTACACACTCACTGGTGGCCGTATGCGTTACAGTATTTTAACGGACAGGTCTTAAAGTTTTAAAAATAATTTAATAAGACGCATTTAGCTTATTTTTAATGACACCTTTTCGACGGCTTTTCTAAAGTTTGCCACAAATGATGTGGTGTTGTTCTTTATATTTTAACGGACTGGTCTTAAAGTTTTAAAAATAATTTAATAAGACACATTTAGCTTATTTTTAATGACACATTCTCGACAGCTTTCACGACACAGAGGCGGTCATCTCTGGGAGTCGTGAGGGGGGCTGTGGTCACGAAATGGACCGACCGTTAAAGGCCATGGGATGTAGAGACAATGTATGCTTTTATCAGACAAACGCAGGCGGTCATTTAGACACCCGGAGTCGGGGAGGGGTGTGGATGGTCAGCGGGGAGGGGCGGTAAAATTGATCTCATAGCGAAAGTTCATAAAAGTTTTAAATTTTAAGCGGGTACAATTAACAGTGACAATAAACGGACGGATATAGGAGCTATAGTTTTTCTTTTGTTTTAAATGCTGTTTTGTATATACATTTTAGGTTTATATTAATGTTAAGTTTTCTAATTTATAATCCCTGCATGTGTTTTACGCAAAAAGTAAATGTTCTTAACTCTGCATTGAGAAAAAATAAAATCCTCAAAACGTCAAGGAAAGTTTGTGAACACGCCGCTATAAAGAAAATACACATTTTCTCACAGCGATATTTCCCAGGTATGTACAGCATATTTGGCTTCTTCTTCTTCTTTTTCACAGCCTTAGTCCCAGACGGTCCTGGGGTCAGCTGGTTTGGTTGCTCTTCTCCACTTGTCTCTGTCGAGCACATCTTCCTCACTCACTTCACACCCCTCCATATCTTCTCACACAATCTGTCCATCTCTTTCTAGGCCTGCCTCTTCCTCTGTTACCTTCCACCTCAAATTCCATTACCCTCTTTGTTACTTCCTCAACGTCCCTCCTCATATGTCCATACCACCGTAACCTCGCCTCTCGCATCTTCTCAACCATATCCACCACCCTACATCGTCTACGGATTTCTTCATTTCTGATCTTATCCTTCATTGAAATCTGCAGTATATTTTGCTTATTGTGCGATAAAATTACAACGTTACTGTGCTTGTCTCGTGTAGCCGTGTTGTTACCTATAGATGCAAAACGTTGTATAATATTTGTAAATTATACAATATTGAATTATTATAATGGAATTACAAGGGAGGTGTTCAGTAACGTGGCAGTGACTGCCGGCATCCATTCTTTTCCATTAGATGCACCGAAAACAACGACGACACAGACCGTCGATTCGATAGCGGTCAAACGACCAGCTACAGCGATACACACCAACACCGGTGAGTAATTACGACAATGTTTTGAATAACGCTTTACGGCCATGTGAGTCTTAAAGGTACCCGGTCACTTTCTCCACATCGTCACACGGTTGTGTCTATTCGCAGACTCTGGTGAGGGGACGAGTCGGCACACGTTTAAAAAAAATTCCCGTTTGTGCTTTTTGATACCCTCTCAAAATCTTGTGGAGACTCAGGCAGATGCCCCCGTTAAAGCACGGGGCGTGGAGCATATTACCAGATCGTCTGTGAGAAAAGGCTGGTATTAGTTAAGATTTGTCTGTGACGTGTTATAAAACATTCTTTTAACATACACATTTAAAGGTGTCTATAACTAATTAATAAAAATTCTGACAGTTTTCTGTTTTTGGTAATTTGGGGTGTTGAGGTCTTTCTCTAATGGCATTTTCCCCCTCTGTGCAGAACCCGAACCGGCAAAAAATAAAGTACCATTTCGACGGCCAGCGATCTCAGAGACGTCAAGCGAAACAGCGAACTCAAAACGTCACAAATCAACAACCAAAGGTTAATATAATTGAAGCGCGGTCAAGATGTGGAATGAACCACTTCTTTCAACAGTTACTTCTTTTGTTAGGATGTTAATTCGTTGAAAGATCCTAGTTCACATAGTTTTCTGATTTGGGGTATTAAAAAGTCTTATTTTTAAACTGCTAAGCCTTTAAGACTTCATATTTAAAGTTAAAAACGACTGGTCTGCGTCTTGTGTCTACATGCAGTTAATCTAACCGGCTGTTAGTAGCTCCAGTAGTGTCTTAAAGGAAACCAGGGTAACAACTTCATCATGGCCGGTAGCTTGTTCCATTCTCCCACAACCCTTTGTGTAAGGAAGCGCCACAAGTGTGGCGTTTTTATCCTAGTTAACGCAGTTTTCTGATTTTGACCGTTTAGATTGCATTGGTTGGGGGTCTTAAAAAGTCTTTTATTTTTATTTTTACCCCAGTTTGCGTAGTTTTCTGATTTTGAAATATGGAGCATTTGCGGGGTATTAAAAAGTATTTTATTTTTATTCACACAGAAGCTGTATCGACGAGCGGGGGAAAAAATGTGGAAGAAACGCCAGGACCTAAGGTGCTGACCAAATCCAAACGTGTCAAGCCTTTCGAGAGAAATAATAACGCAATTAGAGACTTGGCGTTTGGTGATGCGCTAGATTCAGTGCAGTATATTGCACGGTTACTATCAACAGTGAGCACTAATGAGGTGGATAAAAAGCGAGATTTAGAGCATCTAAGAGCGGCTTTAGAAAGTGTACATTATTTGTTTCCAAAACCGATCCAGGCTTTCGCAGCTAACCTCTTAAGACATAATTTCTACAGAGGATGCTGCTCTAAACTCAGGATTTCAAAACCTGATAATGCTATTTCATGGTTCATTGGAAGATCCCCAGTGATACATGACTCTAAGCATGCGGTCTAAAAACTGGAATAAAAGACCGACCTCTTACTAACATCAAGCGTTTGTATGTTAATAAAATAATTAAACTGGCAAAAGCATGTTTGTTGACGTAATAGATTCAGAGAGAGGCATCAGATTTCCCAAGGGCAAGCCGAACCACGCAATGAGAATGCAGTGGTAGAAAATAACTGAATGCCCGGGGGTGCTGTAGCAGAACCGGATGGCGGTAACTTTGAAAACCGAGAACCGGTTGTTATGAACGATGTGAATCAGGTTGGTGGCGGTGTCGGTGCGAATAGAGACCCTTTAGTTTTCCTGGAGCGTATATCTAGTTATAACAGGTCTTATAATAATTTTAGAGCAACAGAGCACTATGAGGAATTTCGTTTTGTTAATCTTGACAGAATAGCGTCGTACGTACAGGCTATAGACGCTGTGCATGGTGCAGTCCAGAGAATATTGGATGAACTTTCTCCAAACATGGGGGCGTTTGTCTTCGGGTGGTTTTAACAAACCCTTGTTCTCACGCAGAGAAGCCCTGGAGAATTAAATGCTGCCAATTTTTTTAACCACATCTCAGACCTCTTACAGAGCCACACAGAAGTTCTCACCGATGACAGTCTCCAATTAGTGGTGAAGTTAGTTAGGAACATGCAGGGGGGTGCCCGCAGAAGATTTAAATCCTTTCTGTACAGCAGGGTAATTGAGCGGGAAAAAGCGCACCTTATCGACTTACATTACACGGGTGGAAATGTTACAGGGCGCTAAACGAATGCACAGAGAGTTGGGTTTTCCAGAGAATCTGAAAATTAGTTTGTCAGACATTACAGCTTTTGAAAAACATTTAAAGGTAGTCATTAAAATTTTGTACCACGCTCAGGGTGATTGGAAATATTTTACAACAGGTCCCACACCGCCAAATTCTAAAATACTTTTTTGTTCTACTGCACGCCTGTGTTAAATCTTGTAAAACTTGTTTAGATCCCCAGTGTTGTGAAATTGATGCCGACATTCAGAATTGCCCGGCCTGTAAGGTCTTTTGCCGTAGCTCTCAGTGTTTGACGAGACACTTCAGAATGTGGTGTCGAGTGTTAGTAAGTGTGAGAGCCGGTCCTTTTGTGAGGAATGTGGGGTTTATAACCTCGCAAGTCACAAATGTAAAGAGAAACTGTGCTCGCGTTGTAACAACGTGATCGACACCCCTGACACACACTTGTGCTACAGTACATACAGCCTTTGCACAAACCCAAAATTTCAAGCAAGTACATTTTTATCGACTTTGAATGCATGCAAGAAACTGGGACACACATTCCAAATTTCGTCCACGCCCTTCATATTAACAATAAACGAAGCTGGGAATTTTATAGTGAAACTTGTCTAAAGGATTTTGTGTGTAAATTTATCGATGGGCGTTTCAAAAACTATGCTTTCATATCATACAATGGCAAGGGATATGACAATTACCTAGTAATCAGACAGTTGCTGGATGAAAAGATGGATGTTGAAATAATTAATCAGGGTGGTAAAATAATGTGTATGACCGTAAAAGCTCTGAACATCAGATTTATCGATTCTCTAAACTTTCTCCCTATGAAATTAAGCAAACTGCCATCAACCATGGGGGTAAAGGGCATTTTCCACACTTGATGAACACTTCAGAAAACCAAAAATATGTAGGCCCGTCGCCACCGCCAGAACTTTACGGCGTTAAGTACGTGCTGCCGAGCGAGAAAGCTGAGTTTTTGGTTTGGTATGAAGAATGCAAGGGAACTGTGTTTAACTTACAGACTGAGCCGAAACGCTACTGCCGACTGGATGCAGCAATTCTAAGAGAAGGATGTGTCAGGTTTCGGTACGAGGTCATGAACATGACCAGACAGAATAGTGCACGGTGGGCTTTTTAAAAAAGTTTTTATTTAAACACCAGAAATACAAAAACGGAGACAGAATATGAAATACGATACAGAAATAGACGCTTCACATCCAGAGGAATTCACAATTATAAAAGCTGTAACTTATGCTTTTTACATATTTCCATTGTATATCATTTTTTACTTAAAAAAAAGGTCTTCTTTAGCTCAACTGGCAAGACCTGGGTTCGAGCCAATGCAGTGAGGCACGAACTAGGGTGGGAGCGGCGAGGGCACAAGCCCTAGAACCCGAATCCGTTACAATAACAAAAGGACAGACAATGAAATATGGGATATTTCGAAGTCGCAAATGTGAGATATGAAGTCGGAATTCTGAGATACCATAGCGCGTTTTTTTTTTTACTCCCTGGCGGAAACGGGCTTCCATAACTTTTGGTTGGTTGGACAGAAAGACGATGGTGAAAATTAATTTTCTCAAAATGGGAGGTTTTAATGTGCGTGTTTTGTGGGAGCACGAGTTCAGAGACACGCTTGCTGAAAATGGAGACTTGAGGAAATTTCTCGCTTTTGCACAGTTACCAGAGCCACTGCAGCCGCGCGGTCCGCTTTTTGGGGGGAGAACAAATGCCATTTGTGTGCATTACACAGAGCAGCCCGGTGAAAAAAATCATTACTGATTTCACCAGTCTGTATCCCTTTGTGAACAAAACTAAAAAGTACCCACTGGGTCACCCCAGAATAATATATAACAACTTTGGAGTTTTAAAACGGTATTTCGGTTTAGCGAAGGTGAAAGTTTATGCGGGATGCGGCGGAAGGGGCTTTTGGACCCTGAGGCTCAGGACCGCTCGGTGGGGGATGGCACTGCACTGGAGCCGTTCTCACTGCAGCACTGCACTGGAGCCGTTCTCACTGCAGCACTGCACTGGAGCCGTTCTCATGGCCGCATTGTACATCACTGCACTGGGGCCACCCCCACTGCCGCATGCACTG